AGCCATCTGCATGGGTGTGAAGTCATATCTCGTTGTAGTTTTTTGTTTTGTAAAGATGTTTTGCTATGGGCCATTTTTAAAGTCTTTATTGAGTTTGTTACAATACTGTTTGTTTTATGTTTTGGTTTTTTGGCAGCATGTCATGTGGGATCCCAGCTCTCCTGACCAGGGATAGAACCCACACGCCCTGCTTAGGAAGGTGGGGTGTTAACCACTGCACCACCAAGGAAGTGCCTTCATTGTGGTTTTGATTTGCATTTCCCTAGTGACTGGTGAAGAGCATCTTTTCATATGCTTATTGACCATTTGCATATTTTCTTTGGACAAATATATAGTCACATCCTTTGCCCAATTTTTAATTGGGCTATTTGTCTTTTTTATTGTTGAATTGTAAGCTATCTTTTCACATTCTGGATACTAGACCCTTATCAGATATATAATTTGCAAATATTTTATCCCCTTCTGTGGGTTGTTTTCATTTTTTGTACAGCGTCCTTTGAAGCACAAGAGTTTTTAGTTTTGATCATCTGTTCTTTTAATTTGTTTATGCTTTTACTGTCTAAGAAACCATTGCCTAATCCAAGGTTATGAATTTTATATCTGATTTCTTCTAAGAGATCTATAGTTTTAGCTCTTACATTTAGGCCTCCAATCCATTTTGAGTTAATTTTTGTAAGTGACATGAGCTAAGTGTCCAGTTTTATTCCTTTTTGTACGTGACTGCCCAGTTTATCCACCAATTGGTTGAAGGATTCTTCTCCCACTGAATTTTCTTGTTATCTGTACTGATTATCTTTTAATGCATATGGTTTTTATCATCTCCAGTTAGGCACTAAAGGGCAGGGGTTTTTCTTATTTTTGAGGGCAGGGAGCTTTGGGGGCGGGGATTTTTCTTATTTTTGAAGGCAGGGAGCTTTTCTTATTTTTGAGGGCAGAGGACTTTTCTTATCTTGAAGTAAACCACTCTGTTCTTAACAGGATGTCATACCCATAGTAAGTGCCTTGTGAGTATATTACTAATCTCTGTCTAACCAGATAGTAAGCTCTACAAGGAGGAGACTCTGCTTATTTTTGCTTGCTGATAGGCTGGCATCAGTAAGTACTTTTGGATAATTAAATCAATGATTCCCCAATGATTAGTTCACGCCTTACTTTAGGATTTTTGTTCTCCCTTGCAGCAGAATGCATACTAGGTAAGAATAACTTTCTTACAGTAAGTCATAGGGGAAGAGGTGAGCGGGGGCAAACATGCCTCCATGGGAAACTCCTAGCTTAGCTGCGACTTTGCCACCCAATGATTCTACCGTATTCAGTTTATATTGCTTGGTTCTCTTTCGCTGAGAACATATAAGCTCTCAGGTTTACAGACTTACGAAGATTTCTGCTTGGTGTTTTTGGTTGTGTACCAAGAGTTTAAAAAACAAATCCAATCCAAGCTACCGTTTCTGGATATTGGATTTTTCTCTTCTCAAAGTGCGATCAAGACGGACTCCCCGGCTTTTAATAAGTGCCAGTGCTTCCTGCTGGTGGAGTTTGACGAGGCCTGACCTGTGAAACCATGTTTGAACAATGAGAACAGGAAATATGCTTTTTTCTTGCTCATGGTTTCTGCAGCTATAAAAGTGATTTGCAAAAAAACAAGGAAGTACCCTAAGTACCCAATTACAGAGGAATGGTTAATTATCCTATATTGATTCAGTGAAGTACTAAGTTGCAACTAAAAATAATACTTAAGAAAATTATATACTAATAAAAAATTATGTAACAGTAAAGAAATACCTACTTTTGCTTCATTGACTATACTAAAGCCTTTGACTGTGTGGATCACAACAAACTGTGGACAATTCTTAAAGAGATGGGAATACCAAACCACCTTACCTGCCTCCTGAGAAACCAGTATGCAGGTGAACAAGCAACGGTTAGAACTGGAATGGAGCAATAGACTGGTTCCAAATCGGGAAAGGAGTACGTCAAGGCTGTGTATTGGCACCCTGCTTATTTAATTTATATGCAGAGTATATCATAATAAATGCCAGACTGGATGAATCCCAAGCTGGAATCAAGATTGCCAGGAGAAATATTGATAACCTTAGATATGCAGATGACACCACCTTAATGGCAGAAAAAGAAGAAGTAAAGAGCCTCTTGGTGAAAGTGAAAGAGGAGAGTGAAAAAGCTGGCTTAAAATTCAACATTCAAAAATCGAAGACATGGCATCTGGTCCCATCACTTCATGTCAAATAGATGGGGAAACAATGGAAACAATGACAGATTTTATTTTCTTGGGCTCTAAAATCACTGCAGACAGTGACTACAGCCATGAAATTAAGATGCTTGCTCCTTGGAAGAAAGGCTATGACAAACCTAGACAGTGCATTAAAAAGTAAAGACATCACTTTGCCAGCAAAGGTCCGTATAGTCAAAGCTATGTTTTTTCCCAGTAGTCATATATGGATGTAAGAGCTGGACCATAAAGAAAGCTGAGCACCGAAGAATTGATGCTTTTGAACTATGGTGTTGGAGAAGACTCTTGAGAGTCCCTTGAACAGCAAGGAGATCAAACCAGTCAATCCTAAAGGAAGTCAATCCTGAATATTCATTGGAAGGACTGAAGCTTCATTGAAGCACCAATACTTCGGCTACTTGATGCAAAGAGCTAACTCATTGGAAAAGACCCTGATGCTGGGAAAGATTGAGGACAGGAGGAGAAGGGGACGACAGAAGATGAGATGGTTGGATGGCATCACCGACTCAATGGACATGCATTTGAGTAAACTCTGGGAGATGGTGAAGGACAGGGAACCGCAGTGTGCTGCAGTCCACGGGGTCGCAAAGAGTCAGACACAACTGACTGACTAAACAACAACAAAAGAAACATATTTATGATATAAATTTAAGTATAAAAATATTATATTATTATGCAGTGATTGCATCTGGGTAAAATCACGTATTGTCTTTAACTAGGGTGATCAACCATTCATCCTGGTTTGCCTCAGACAGTCTGGGTTTTAGCACTAAACTTCCTGTATCCCAAGAAATCTCTCAGTCCTGAGCAGAGTGGGGTGGTCAGTCACCCTGCTGTGGACAAATTGCCAAAGAAATAACTGGAGAGAAAGTCACAGCAAGGATTTTCATTTTCTAAGAGTAGACATCAGTGGTGTCTTGTGATAAGGAGTTAATGTAGGCTCAGTAAAAACTAGTTGAAAATATAAAAATGAATTGATTTAGTTACTAAGTCAAGTCCAACTCTTGAGACCCCATCAACCATATCCTGCCAGGCTCTTCTGTCCATGGGATTCTCCAGGCAAGAATACTGGAGTGGGTTACCATTTCCTTCTCCAGGGCATTTTCCCAACCCAGGAATTGAACCTGGGTGTCCTGCATTGCAGGTAGATTGTTTACCGACTGAGCTATGATGGAAGCCCTATTTTAAAAAATGAATAAAAGAAACTAAAATACTTAAGGAAGCCATGTGTTTGGAGAAGGATCCTCATATATATTTCAGAAGTTGAGAAAATGAGATAGAAATAAGATCTTGTGTCCTTTTTTTGATTTTTAATTTTTTGGCCATGCAGCATGGCATGTAGGATCTTACTTTCCCAACGAAGGATTAAACCCATGCCTCCTGCATTGGAAGTGCAGTGTCTTAACCACTGGACAGTCAGGGAAGTCCCAAGATCTTATCTTTTTTGAAGGTTTTCTCACCAGTTTTTGCCTTGAGTTGGTCATAGCTGCACCCACTTCCCTTTCCCCTAGTCCAAGGCAGGGACTGGTCCTAGTCCACCACTATATAGTCCAGTCACATTCTGGAGTGAACACAGGAAGGAATGTGTTATTAATGACCTACTCCAGGAGAACTTTCCTTGGGAATATGTGTGTGTGTGTGTGTTAGAATATATTGACACGAATAGTCAATGTCTTGACATCTCACGGTTCAAACCCAGACTAGGGTTACGTGAATCTGAACTTGAGAGTGGTGGAGGCTCCTGTGACCAGAATGTTACAAGAGTAAAAAATCTCAGGGAAATACCATGTTGGAATCACCTGCTGCAGCTGAGCACACGCAGAGAGTTTTATTCATTTAAAGCCATTTTCGAGAACTTTACATAGAGAAATGCCCCACCTACATTTTTTTCTCTAATCATCAGAAATATCTTTAATTCGTGGTCCCTAACAAAGTGGAGTGGAGAAGGCAATGGCACCCCACTCCAGTACTCTTGCCTGGAGAATCCCATGGACGGAGGAGCCTGGTGGGCTGCAGTCCATGACGTCGCTAAGAGTCGGACACGACTGAACGACTTCACTTTCACTTTTCACTTGCATGTGCTGGAGAAGGCAATGGCACCCCACTCCAGTGTTCTTACCTGGAGAATCCCAGGGATGGGGGAGCCTGGTGGGCTGCTGTCTGTGGGGTCGCACAGAGTCGGAGACGACTGAAGTGACTTAGCAGCAGCAGCAACAAAGTGGAAATGTTACTGAGAGTGGAAATTGCATCGTCTGTATAGCTGTCAGGGTCTGGCAGCATTTACCACGCATCAAATGCTCAAACGCAGATGATAGATTTTAGTGACATGTTCCTAGGTTAACGCTCTCTCTGTGTAAGGTAGTAACCTCTCCGAATATAATCTAGAGGTAGGGTAAACAGTCCCTGAGATTTGGCATTATAAGTAATTATGTTATTTTCAAGCATGATCTTCTTTCTCAGAATTTCTCTAGCACTTAGTATCTACATTTTATAATCTGGCAGCTAATTGTGTGTTAATGAGTTTAGATTGTGAATGTTTTAAGTTTTTTGTCCCCAAGGGGTAAAACATGATTTCTGACTCTTTTGTGTCTTTCTCAACACCTCTGTCATGCTGGTCAGAGAGCAGTTGCTTGATAAACCTGTTGACTTGGCTCTTACATAGACACTGGCTAGGCAATTTCATTGTTTCAAGCATGATAGCATTTGAATAAGATGATCTGGGTACGAAATAAGACGCTCAAAATTACTTGCTGTTACTATTGAAAAGTTACATTGATTTATTTACTTACTGTGTGAGCACTGTAAAACAGAGATAGGAATTTTTTTCCTTGATCATGGAAGATCAATTACACTTATTTGATAAAATATTTTGTGAACTGGAAAACACTGTACAAATACAAGCATTGATTGTCCTTTGCGATTTGGGTGTTCATTATGGCATTTTTTTCTATCATTCTTTCTTCTCTTGCCTAAAGGCGAAAAGTATGTAGATAGAGCAGCCAAGAGCCTGGAGGAGGAGTTAAGAAAAGTTAAGACGGAAGGAGACAGATCCAGGTATAAGCGGTGCTGTTTGTACAGAGACAGGGCTGAGGACTGGCCCCTTAGAGCTCCTCCAGTGAGACACAGAGGCACAGTGTCAGCCCATAGAAAGACAGATGGAATAGGTTCTTTACTGTACTTCATTATCATTATCTTTTACTTTCCTGAAAACAGTGGTGCAAAAGAGATTCCACACATACATAAATATATAGGTGTGGAAGGAATCAAAGATAGCTTAAGGATGGCGTGGAGCGGTCACTTACACTTTCCATCTGATACACAGTCTGCCTGTTGCAGAGAGAAGCAGTGGAAGACAAACTTCTGCGGCGGCTGCTGCTGTGACTACTCGGCTGCCACGGCCACACCTTATCCGAGGGCAGGCCGGCGGCAAACCACACTCTGCAGCCCTCACTCAGACTTCGCTCTTTTCAATGTGAGAAGGCTGTGCTAAGCGAGAAACACGATGCTGCAGTCTGCTGCAGTGGCCTGTGTGCATACTCTGAGTGAGGATGGGGAGAAGGGAGCTGTCTGTGGCCCCTCCACGCAAAGACCAGAGAAAGACGTGGCGGCCACGTGCAGAGTGCCTTCAGAAATGCGGGTAAATAAGTCTCTGGGAAGCTGTGAACACTAATGCTAAAAGAAAAGACGACAACAAAGAAAAGAGACCGTTTAAGGGACACTATCGTTTTCTATTGGCGCGTCTCCCTGATCCTGGGGGGGCTCCGGGAAGTTCATTTCTGCTGCTTCTTCCTCTTCTTCTTGGACGGGAATAATCTCAATGTCTTCTTCATTCTTTGGTAGGGAAGATATTTCAATCTGCTCAGCCACTTCAGTCTGCTCAACCCCTTCTTCTTTTATTTCGATCGCCTGTTCCTTTTTTTCTTCAGCTGACAGGAGAACGATGTTCTGGAACACAAAATTTAGCAAACTTTTCTTGACTTTGATCATTGGCACATTTCTCAACAATCTGCACAAATATCAATATCTCCTGGTTTTTATGCTGTTTTCTAGATGCATCTGCATGCCAGGATTGGTTTCCCAGATAATTCAGATCGTCACCAAACCACTAATCAAGGCTTATCCTCAAGGCCAACAAACACTTGCCACCTTACCTGGAATGATCTCTCAGTGTTTGGGAAAGAACACTGCAATAATAGAGGAATTTATATTTCAGTTTTGACTGGCCTTTATTGGAGATAACCTCAGGAAAGTATTGACTTGCTGTCTCTAATCCTATTTTCCTCACTTGCAAAATGAAGGCATTAACAATGATTTCTAAATTCTATTGCAAAGCTGACATCCTGTGGTTCTAAAGCAGTTGATAGTTGATCTATCCCTGGGATATTCATATCTCAACTGTAGGGCCTCTTTGAACCTATTGTTTTGGATGAGAGATTAGATAGAAAGAAGAGGGGAGAAGGGAGTACTGAGAAATTGGGTTTGGAAGAACTAGTGACTTTAATCAGCCTTAAGCCATCCTGCTTTTATACACTAAGTATGGAAACCTGAAATCAAGAGGCATGACTGAAGTCCAGCAGAGTCCAAGGCTAGGAAGAGGATGCACGTAGCATAGAACTCTTGTACTTCCTTTAACTGCCATGCCCCCGCCCCCTCCCCGCCGTGGGAATCCTAGTAGACGTTCAGAGCACAACTGTTGAGTAAATGAAGTAAGTAGTATTTAGATTATGTCGCAGTGAAGCAGGATACTTTCTGGCTATAGGCAGGGAGAGAACAGATTGGCCCCTCTAGGTCTGTACCATCAAATGGAAACACACAAATAGTAATACACCTTCTCCTTCCCTGTGGACACAGGTTGCAACCAGCCCCAGTCAGCCGTTTCTCAAAACAAATACACTGACTATTACTGGTATTTTCTGCTTCCCAGAAATATGCCAGAATCATTTTTCATGATGCTCCCAGACTTATCAGATTATGCTCTCCATAAATGATATTTTGCACGTGAGACTTTCCTAAGGGAGGTTGTGAATAGCACAGCTTATACTTACAGCTTTGGGTCTGGAGCATATTTTTTTCCACTCATTCTCAACAGTGCCAGCTGTCACAAGTTTCTGGAGGAAGGCAAAGATCATCATCACTGCGAAATTGCTCTGAAAAACAGAAAAATTAGGGTGAAAATGTGCTACTGAAGCCACGAGAATATGGTTAATGCACAGTAAATGACCGATGACTAAAATGACTGATGACTAAAAGTAAATGATGAAAAGGTCGATTCTTTAGGGAAATAGTGACTAACTGTGAGAAATGCTGGTATCTGCATAACCCTAACCAACCCTTAGTAAACTCCTGGCACTTAACACAGAGTGTATGTTGTTGACCCAAAGTAAGGCAGTGATAATTAGCTGAAGAGTCAATTCCATGTAGGCAAGAACAGTTTAATGTGAGTTCCACATGAAACTGTATCCAGCTTTAGGTGGTATAGTATCGCATCAAGGAAATCTCTCCGCACCTGGGAGATGTATTTCTTTTCCCTTCAAGTGAAGTGAAGTTTTAGTTGCTAAAGGCATGATCTCATGGACTGTAACCCGCCGGGCTCCTCCGTCCATGGGGTTTTCCAGGCAAGAGTACTGGAGTGGGTTGCCATTCCCTTCTCCAGGGGATCTTCCCCACCCAGAGACTGAAGTGGAGTCTCTTGAATCTCCTGCATTGGCAGGTGGATTCTAACTACTGAGCCACCTGGGAAGCCCTTGAGGCAAATGATATTCATTACAACTTAGGTTCTTCAGTGTTCATCTTAATAATAAAAATAATAAATATTAGTTCCATTAATAATACCTATAAATGTTAAAGCAAAGGCTTAAATAGCACATCTGTGCTGTGTCTGGTAAGACACTGTTCAAAGTGCTTTTCTGTGTTAACTCATCCCTCAAAACAGTTCTATAAATACTGTTACCGTCTCCCATTTTACAGAGGAAGAACATGAGACACAGTGTGGTGTGGTCAGAATTCTGGCTCAAAACCATATAGGCAATAAGTGCAGACACAGACAGTCTGGATCCAGAGCTGATGATCATAAGGAAAATGCCATGCTTCCTTCCTGAAAATAAATACAGTTTTATACTTACCAAGAACACAAACCGTATCCTGGCACAATATTCCATGGACTGAGAGTTATTCTCATCAGGGTTAGCTCGTTCACAGTTGTTTATGTTAATATATGGCATCTGAGTCTTAATAAGGTTCAGATTCTCCATTTTAAAAAAATGGGAAATTGTCATATTAAATATGTCCATGATCAAAAAAATTATTCCAGAAATAGCAGCAAAGAGGCTCAAAGAGTTCATTATTACTCTTCCTGTGAGCTGAAATAAGAGACACAGATATTTATTAATTGAGTCTAATTTCCAATTGGACAATATAAGCTAGGACAGAGTTCCAGATCTTATTTTCCTGACTCATAAAGGTACTACATCTAAATCCTGCTGAGTCCTGTTTCTCTCGGCTGTTTTAGTCTCCTTGTCACTGCAAAATAAACACCGTCCTGTCTGCACCTTGTCGCTTTCTCGGTCCTCCCCACCTCGTTTCTGCCACCCATCCAGTCAGTTCCTCAAAAAAATGTTCTAGAAATGATCCTGGAACTCCCTTAACCGCCAAGGCCCCCCGCCCCGCCCCGGAATCCTAGTAGACGTTCAGCGCACAGCTGTTGAGTAAATGAAGTAAGTAGTATTCAGAGTATGTCGCAGTGAAGCAGGAAGCTTTGGGCTATAGGCAGGGAGAGAAGGTTGGCCCCTCTAGGTCTGTATCATCTCCTGCATTGGCAGGTGGATTCTAACTACTGAGCCACCTGGGAAGCCCTTGAGGCAAATGATATTCATTACAACTTAGGTTCTTCAGTGTTCATCTTAATAATAAAAATAATAAATATTAGTTCCATTAATAATACCTATAAATGTTAAAGCAAAGGCTTAAATAGCACATCTGTGCTGTGTCTGGTAAGACACTGTTCAAAGTGCTTTTCTGTGTTAACTCATCCCTCAAAACAGTTCTATAAATACTGTTACCGTCTCCCATTTTACAGAGGAAGAACATGAGACACAGTGTGGTGTGGTCAGAATTCTGGCTCAAAACCATATAGGCAATAAGTGCAGACACAGACAGTCTGGATCCAGAGCTGATGATCATAAGGAAAATGCCATGCTTCCTTCCTGAAAATAAATACAGTTTTATACTTACCAAGAACACAAACCGTATCCTGGCACAATATTCCATGGACTGAGAGTTATTCTCATCAGGGTTAGCTCGTTCACAGTTGTTTATGTTAATATATGGCATCTGAGTCTTAATAAGGTTCAGATTCTCCATTTTAAAAAAATGGGAAATTGTCATATTAAATATGTCCATGATCAAAAAAATTATTCCAGAAATAGCAGCAAAGAGGCTCAAAGAGTTCATTATTACTCTTCCTGTGAGCTGAAATAAGAGACACAGATATTTATTAATTGAGTCTAATTTCCAATTGGACAATATAAGCTAGGACAGAGTTCCAGATCTTATTTTCCTGACTCATAAAGGTACTACATCTAAATCCTGCTGAGTCCTGTTTCTCTCGGCTGTTTTAGTCTCCTTGTCACTGCAAAATAAACACCGTCCTGTCTGCACCTTGTCGCTTTCTCGGTCCTCCCCACCTCGTTTCTGCCACCCATCCAGTCAGTTCCTCAAAAAAATGTTCTAGAAATGATCCTGGAACTCCCTTAACCGCCAAGGCCCCCCGCCCCGCCCCGGAATCCTAGTAGACGTTCAGCGCACAGCTGTTGAGTAAATGAAGTAAGTAGTATTCAGAGTATGTCGCAGTGAAGCAGGAAGCTTTGGGCTATAGGCAGGGAGAGAAGGTTGGCCCCTCTAGGTCTGTATCGTCAAGTGGAAACACACGAATAGTAATACACCTTCTCCTTCCCTGTGGACACAGGTTGCAGTCAGCCCCAGTCAACCATCTCTCAAAACAAATACACTTCAGGCTACGTCTCTGGGAAGCACCAGGTTAGAGGCTGTCAGTGTGACACGCCACCTTGCAGGGATGATGAAAGGTCAAAAACAGGAAGATTCATGCAACAAGCACCATAATGATGTGGTGTTACTGATGATTATCTCACAACACACAGATTTCATCCCTGGTTGTATGACCTACAGATGGCAAGTCAGTACAACTGGCTATATCTTAAATACAGTTTCATCTTCACGAACATTTGCTTTTTTCCCTGAAAAGTGAGTTTGTCAGACCACCTCTAGAGGGGAGCCATCTCAGTCTCAATCTCTCATGGACTTTGGAAGTGACTTAAATTAGTAGGACCTTAGTAAGTATAGAAAAGTTGAAGAAGGAAGTCTGCTGGTAAACTCTTGACCTGTAGAGTATCAGGGGGTCTGCCTGAATGTCAGTGTGCCCTGAGGGGTATATGAACAAGACCGGTCTAGCTCCTTATAGACTCTGAAGCACCTTCATATATTTTATCCTGCATATATGTCACTCCGTTTTATCCTCAGGATAATTTCATATGGTAGCAAGGACTGTTATCTCCATCTTACAGGTGAAAACTTAGAGGTACACGGGGGAAGCTGGCTTGCCCAAGGTTCAAGGCTAACTAAGGCTCAAGGTCAACTAAGACTTGAGTCAGTCACAGCCTTGATTAGACCATTTTCTTCAATGCTGATCTGAGAGGAGTGGCGTGACTTTCAAAGAGATCTGTCTCTTGCAGCATCTCTCATTCCTGAGACTGTAAGCCTGCTCTTCACCGATCTGCCTCTGATTCTGTTTCCATGGACATCCCATTTTCATGTTTTTTATGAACTGATCACAGTAGCATCATAGAGAGTCTTTCACTTTTGGGGGTTGAGGGGTCACAGTGCTACTGTAACTACAAGGGTCTTCCAGGGTCCTTGTTTCCAGCTGAGAAAGTAGACACTGCTCTGATGTGTGGGAAAGGAGGACATTCGATTACTTGCCATGCTCTGTGTGGAGTTTTTCTCTGCTGCTGCCAGCAGTGATCCAGAAATGATGTACTGTAAAGAGAGGTGGTGGGTGGGGAGGGGTGGGGAGGGATG